CATGTGGCCAGCATGACTAAGCCGCTTCTGGCGAACCAGAGCAACACACGGAAATGCCGTTTACCTTCCCGCCGGAGTAGTACCTATTTATCTACTTGCATTTTGACATGCTTTCGAACTGGCAGGAGCAGGGACCGAATAACGGGAGCTCACCCCGTCAAGGGGATTCAAACCGCCGACCTTCTGATCAGCAAGCCCTAGGCTCAAATAGTAAAAGAAAGTACTAACTCTCGGTCCTCGTCATTCCCTACCTTCCTGCCACTGCCATCACTTCCTTGGATGACTTCAAGACACCACAAAACAGAAAAATTACAATACACCTGGGGGCATACAAACAGAGACTTGATGATAGGCAATGGTTAAAGGTAGCAGACCGGCAAACAGTGAAATCTTCAGCACAGAAGAATTGATGTCTTCCCAAACAGCAAGATCAGGCAGAGCTGCCATGTATTTTATGAAATGCAGGTGACAAGAGATTAAGCTTGTGCAAAGGTGACATGCAGCGAAAATGACAAACAGGCACAGGCAGGGCAGCAAAGGGGCATTTTAGCTGGTGAGTGCCTGTACAGAACATTGCATTTTGCATGGCGTTGTGAACTGGGGATTTCCCTCTTTTATCCCCCAAACTATTTCATTTCCCCAGAGCCAAACATTAGCCCGTCTTTGTGCCCTAAGTGGTGTTCTTGTTTTGTACTCAAATGGGAGTGTTGCTTGCTATGCGTATTACTGGGATAATATCACAGAAGATCACTGTTATTTCCAGGAGCTGAGAGGGGTGCTCAGCAATTGTCCCTCTCGTGCCCAGAAAATGCCTATAAATCCTGTGGGCCTGGGGCCTGGGATGGAAAGGAAGAAAGGGAATATAGATGAGCAGAGAATGTAGATGACAGTCTGCCAACAGGATATTGGACAAAGTTAGCCACCTCTTTTTCCTAGTGTACAGATTATGGAGAGGCACATACTGCTGAAACAGACTGCTGCAAAATGTCTTAAATTAGCATGCATTTTTTTTACAAGGTACTCTGGTGGCGCTGTGGATTAAACCACAGAGCCTAGGACTTGCCGATCAGAAGGTTGGCAGTTTGAATCCCCGTGACGGGGTGAGCTCCCGTTGCTCAGTCCCTGCTCCTGCCAACCTAGCAGTTCAAAAGCACATCAAAGTGCAAGTAGATAAGTAGGTACCGCTCCGGCGGGAAGGTAAACGGCGTTTCCGTGTGCTGCTCTGGTTTGCCAGAAGTGGCTTAGTCATGCTGGCCACATGACCCGGAAGATGTATGCCGGCTCCCTCGGCCAATAAAGCGAGATGAGCGTTGCAACCCCAGAGTCGGTCATGACTGGACCTAATGGTCAGGGGTCCCTTTACTTTACCTTACTATTCAGCTACTGCTGGTGTTACAATCACTGTTTCAGAGGAAATACATTTTACAGTTAAATGACGGGTGATAACAGCACAAACAAGGGACAGGATCACTGATCAAAAAAGTTTAGGAGAAAGCAATCCTGCCCAAACCAGAGTGTTATAATCACAGCATTGAACTTGATCAGCAGTACTCTGCTAAAAAGAATGAAAAAGAAGCCTGTTATTGCCAAGACATAAAGTTTAGATCTATTTGAGGCTGTTAAGTGTGGGAGAATATGTATTTGTGCATATTGTCTGTAAAGTTGTGCAAAGAAAATATAGACCCAAAAACCGGTATCAGAACTGACGGAGAAGATTGTTTAAAAACCATAGGAAATAATATTCAATTTTAACATCCTAAAGCTGTGAAGAAAGGCAGTTGAATGTAACTACTAAAGTCATTTAAATTGCATTTAATGTACTGTATATCATTGCTTTATTATGTATTTTTACAACTGGTTAAAGATTTATTTTCGTGTGTTTTAATAATGTCCTTCTGTATTCATCGCCCACCCCAGGGAAAAATCCTTTTGAAAAAGAAAGAAGGGATAAAAGTGAACAAATGTTCATCCTCAGCTTTGTCAGAGCTTTTTAAAAACAGCTTGTATAGAAAATTCTAGAAGTAATGGAGGAGGAGTTTGCTTTCTGCTTATGAAGATGAACGCTTCTCTTCTGCATTCTTTCCAGCACCAGCTCCACAGCCTTTCCACAACAAAATCTTTCCACTTCTAAGAGTATCTGTCAGGACAAAACACGATTGTTTGTGCCAGAACATCATTACACGCTAACTGTCACTCTGGGAATAGAATTCATTTGTTAGATGCAGCAAGGATTATAAAAGTGGGACCAAACATGGAAACAGGTGTTGTCCTAAAGTATTATGTTTTAAAAATGAACAGGAAAAAAGGTCATTTATTTTTACTATAGTGTGAGCGCCGCAACCCCAGAGTTGTCCGTGACTGGACCTAACGGTCAGGGGTCCCTTTACATTTTTACCTCACCTCCCAAGACCAACTTAAACATGGGCAAAGAAGGGTTTGGTTCCTTGAAGTCACTGCTTGAAAGAAAAGGAAGTTCACAAAAAACCGCTTACTATTCTCCTGGTGAGCGGCCCCAGGGGCGGGTGGCAGGTGCTGTGTTCCCACACAGCCGGGGATAATGCCATTTCTTCCCCAGTGGTTGCACAGACCTCTGGTGGTTTGCTCTGGATTCTGACTGATCATGGGCGACATGGTGGCTGTGGCTTTGGAGCGGACCCAAAGGAAAACTATAAAGCCAGGCCACACCTCCTGCCTGGAGCTCAGCTGGCACTCAGCAACCCCAGCCACCCACCCTTCATTTTCTGCTTGAGGTTCTGCTTGAGGGTTAGTGAAAAGATGGACACTGTGGCCAGATTGGGGCGGGAGAGGTAAGGGACCAACTGCTTAATGTGGCAAAGTTGGAAAAATGTCGCCTTGGCTGTTGCTGTAACCTGCGCCTCCATGGAAAGGGAAGCATCAAGGATTACACCCAAACTCTTAATGGGGACACCAATTGGGCCCCCGCAAGAGAAGGGAGTTGGTCCCTCATTCCCATACCATCCCGACCCAGCCAGAGGACCTCTGTCTTTGAAGGATTTAGTTTCAATCGGCTTGCATGAAACCATGCAGCCACAGCTTCCAAGCATCTGGTCAGTGTGTCTGGGGCTGAGTCGGTGTGGCCATCCATCAGCAGATAGAGCTGAGTGTCATCAGCATATCGGTGACAGCCCAGCCCAAAGCTCCGGACAATCTGGGCAAGGGGGTGCATGAAGATGTTAAAAAGCATCGGGGAGAGGATTGTGCCCTGCGGCACTCCACACACTAAGGAGTGGCACGACGACATCTCCCTCCCTAGCGATATACATTTGAGATGATCCTTAACTTGGAATTAACACTTAGAATCACAGAATAATATCATAGAATATTATTATTGTAGAGTTGGAAGAGACCACTAGGGTTATCTTATCCAATCCCCTGCATTGCAGGAATCTTTTGCCCAACATGGGACTCAATCCTGAGATTAAGAGTCTCATACTCTACCGACTGAGCTATCCCATCAAACAATCAGACTGGGTGATTCAGGTTACAATGCCTATGCCAAGACCTACTTACATCTGTAATCCATAAAATCGTGACCTATTTTATCCCAAAGCAATTCTCCCATGATTCTTCCATCTTCCCATGTAAGCCCCTGGCTGCTCACGGCCTCAAGGCACCTGGGCACACAACCCTACGGACTTTCCCCAAATCTTAGCCAAATGATAACCCCATAGGTTCCTTGAAACAATAGATGGGTAAGGGGTTATATAAGAGATGTTTAGAAAATTTTGCGTGGTGTGGAGAAAGTAGTGAGAGGAACCTTTTTCTCCCTCCCAAGGATCAGCCAGTGAAGTTGGATGGTGGAAGATCGAGGACAAGGCTATTGTCCTCATGACCTTATTGTGAGCTTCCTAGAGGCATCTACTTAACTACTGTGGGCATCAGGGTGTTAGGCTATGAAGGTCTTTGGTCTATTTTGGAAGGGTTCTTATTATTTTCTCCAAAGAAGTGCTGCTATTGAGCTCTTCTGCACAAATGGGGATAGGGAGTGTGTGACCCTATGATCTGACATGTTTCATTCATAATAATCCGATTAGAACAGGCCATAAACACATTCTTTCAAATTTTACAGTGCTAAAATTGAACTTCCGTTTTTCTTTCTGGCTTTGCATTGCCGCTCAACATCATGATCTCTTTTTCTTGCTAATATGCAGTTTTGTTCACTTCAGGTACAGAATCATAGAATTGCAGAGTTGGAAGGGACCCCCAGGGTCATCTAGTCCCACCCCCTGCAATGCAAGGGTTTCTGTTTTCATATTCTGTTGTTGAGACTTGGCAGTTTCAATTAACTGATGCTTCTAAAAACTGCCCTACAGAGTCAACCAATGTTTTCCTTTATGCCCTTCTTATTTCCCCATATTGATTATTGCAATATTCAAATTGTTGGTGAGTTCTGTTTTTTCTTAAAGAAAAGAAGCCTTGGGAGGTGGGCTATTTTGAGCTGAAAAGCAGTTTCCCCACCAACCTTTGTCACTCCAAATCAACCACCAATCACTACTTCCCATGAGATTCTATGCGCATGTTGCTTCTAGTATTTTATGTACTGCTAAGTGTTCCCTAGAGGCATCCCCCAGTTCCTGCCTTGACTTTCCCACTGGGTTTGATTTAAAGATCAGTTTCTGCTAAAAACAAAGTCATTGATAATTACAAAGGGCTTTCCTGGGCTGAGCAATGAATATCCACTGATGTCTGTTAAGCTCTTTTACTACAACTGCATGCAAAACAAATCAATGGAGAAATATTTTCTTTGCTGGACTAATGATCCTGTCTCTTTTTCTGATTCCAAAGCACTAAGCAAAAATGCTCTAAGTACAATAAAGTTTTAAATCCACAAATTCCCAAGAAGCCCCAAAATGGTCCTGTGCTGGTGAATTTTCAAAGGATTTTTTTAAAAAATGCATTTCAAAGAGACTCATAGAATTGTAGAGTTGGAAGGAACCACAAGAGTCATCTAGTCTGACCCCCGCAATGCAGGAACCTTTTGCCCAAGACGGGGCTCAAAGCCATGAGCTTGAAATTAAGAGTCTCATGCTCTGCCTACTGAGCTACCAAGTGTTCAGTTGTTGCATAAATGTGGAGAACTGAATTTAAGATTAGAAAAATGAGAAACTGAGAGAACCAAAACATACAGATTCACCCTTCTTTAGGCAGGGAGATTTGGAAAGCAATTTTTTCTAAGAATGGCAGGAATGGGATTTGGGGCAAATCTTGCCTCCCTGGTTCTTTTAAAGGTTGAGCCCTACTTACCTAATTATTATTATCTTGGGGTCTAGTGGCATGGTCGTCTATTCTAAAGAACTGTTTGGGAACACTGAAACCATAGTTCTTCCTATGACTTGGCAAGATTTATGACGTGTGTGTGTGTGTGTGTGTGTGTGTTTTGGCCCCGTACCAAGGCAGTTCTTTGTAAGCTGCTCTCAGAGCTAATCCTGTTATCATCTGTTTAGTTAGTAAAGCCACCGTTCTGCTGTTCTCTTGGATGCTGCTGTGGTGCTCGGTTGACAATGTGACCATGTGCGTAGATGCACAAGGGACCCACTTAAGAACATTACAAAAGCATTTAAACAGCATTCACTGGATTGTAGAGTCTCTTTGTCTACGCTCTCTGGAGACAGCTCACTCTTTCTCTCTATGTTCTCGGGTCTGTAAATCCTGTGGGCAGCACCGGCTCCCACAGGCTCTGATATCTAACCTCCTGCTCGCACATGAATCACGGAAGGGATTTCCTCAAGTGCAAGTCAAGCAGTATTTTGACCCTTTTCCACAATGCCCATGCACTGAGCATGGAGGTCTGCAATCATCTCAAGCCTGCGACTGACTGATGTCCTGTCTCTTATTCCCAATATGCATTCTGAGACTAATTCTTTTATTTACAATATCTCAGGTAGTTGAGGCTAGTCTTTCTGTAAGGTTAGTAAAGTGTAATTAAGGAGGTGAACACAACATTTTTCAAGGGCTACGGAGGTCACCGACTTCAGATATGAAGTACATTTCACCAGCACACCAAACAGCAGTCTGTGTCTATCAAGGGTCTGACTTTTACTGGTCTCAGATTCCCTTATAAAGTGTGGTTCAGTATTTTATCTACTTGAAACCGGCTAATTCAGAGTCCAGATCTGTCTGTCTGTCTGTCTCTCTCAGAACCTCTGTTCTGTGGTTCTGCATTCTTACAAGTCAAGCAGAATGTACTGTGTGAAGTATTGAGCTAAGTATTTTACATTGTGCTGTGCCTCTACAGTTGTATAGTTTTATATTTCTCTTTTGTGGTTCGAGGACCCGACCCCCGCGATGTGAAATGAATACACAAGGACACGTGATATAAGGTTAATGGGCATGGAAAGGCCACAACTTTATTGATTACAGCAGTGAAAAGGTATTGGCTTAGGCATTGGATCTCTAAAACACGTGGGTTTATTCACCAGTAGGTGGAGCCTGTTGATGCTAATCCAACTATAGGCTCCCCCCTGATGTCACCGAGGGTCGTGCCATGGCCTCCCGCCAAGCAGGCATCGGACAGAACACACGACCGCCAGATTCCTTTAACGGAATACCCAAAAATTGAAGGCATAGGCGATGGCCACACCTAGCCCTTCGACACACCACAACACATTATTCCAATGCCTAACCGCCACCCAAGCCTAAAGGCTCGCCGCCAATACCCTCACGGCTGCAACCAATCCCAGATACTATTGCTGACACTACCTAACCAAATATCGTTCCCCAGATCTGATAGATGCACCCCGTCATTCCGGTATAAGGCTTGGTCGCTGATCCGGAGACGGTCATGATAAATTACACGGCCATACATGAAGCGCACCCAACGGGAAGCTGCCCGATTTACGAGTTTTCTGGTTTTTTCAATGGCCCAATGACGAAGGCGAAGAATGAGGCCAGGGAGAGGCTGGCACTGCAGCATAAGGCTGCTGAACACGCCCCCTCCGAGGCACCTGGTTGGATGCCTGCAGAGGGGGCGTGGGTGCCAGCCAGGTGAGGTGGCGGCAGGGGGCAACCGCCCCCTGCTAGGGGCGGTGCTCAGGCTCCCGCCCACAACCACTCCCCTCTCTTCCAGGGAGGAGAGTCTTTGTCTGACATAGGGTTGTCACCTTTGTTCCGGCAAAATAAAGGACAGGATGGCAGCGGGAGGCGGGAGGCTTTCCTCCCCCCACCTGGTGCTGACATTACTTCAAGGCAATCCATTATAATCTATTGCAGCCTAACCGGAGGGCTGCCTTGAAATTTGTCACACACACACACACATACACATGAATCTGTAAATCTGCCTATGCTTTGCTACCCATGCTTAAATACATGACCTTTGACACACCCTTTCACACACATCCAGTTCTGTACAGCAATACATACAGACCAGGGCAATAAATAAACAGGGGGGGGGCATATTCTGATGGGCTGGCAGGCTGTCAGATTTCTGAGATATAAAAATATTAGTGTCAGGAGGGAAGGGCAAGTCTTGTCAGGAGCTACTTCTCCCCACCCTCCTCTCTCAAATGTCATGCAGATAACAAAGTTCAGAATTTGGTGGATTTTATTTCATCGGAACCGCCAAAAATGGTGCCTGCCGCCCGAGCAGGACTTTTGGATCAGCGTGTGATGATTTACTGCAAACAAAAGACTTCCCAGCTTTAAAAAAAAAAGAAAAAGGGAGAGCCTTAGAAAGTTCACACAGAAACATAATAATGCTTGCCTTAATTCGCTTGTGGAAACAACTCAGCGGTTATTAAGAAGAAAAACAACATGAAGATCAAAAGATGGGACTTGTGAACACCAAAAGCAGCAGAAATATGAGATGATCAGACCCTTAATGAACTTGAAGCATGGGAACCCCCAACAAAAATTTATAATTTGGCAAAATATTTGGACTTTTCGATATGTATCGGTATAATTTGGAATAACTAATGTGATATGATTGGATTGTTAACTGGAAAACTTAATAAAAAATTATTTAAAAAAACAACAACTAAGTTCAGAATTTGGGCTTCTGGGACACACTGACACAAAACCACTTGTTTCTAGGGACTCAGAACCTGTTGCTCTCGTGAAGGATGAGGCCCGGTGCTCCTAGGCTGCAGTTTGGGCATGGCTGCCTTAACCCACACCAAAATTTCGGGGAAATGGAAGCGGCAACATGAAAGCCTTGCCCTAGTTTGTTCCTCCGTGGGGGCGGGATGAGGAGAGAGAGCGAAGAGAATTTCCACCCTCCCTTCCCAACAGGTAGGCGGGGTTTGCAAAACCGAGAAGGCTTACCTGGTCTGGTGCCTCCCACCTGGGCTAGGCTGGCTATCGTCCCGCCCCCGGCCTGGGAGGACAATGGACGGCCGGCTGGGGGTGGGGCGAAGGCCAAGGGAAAGAGGCCGACCCCCCTCGGCCAAACCTCACTTTGTTTCTTCCTCTTCCAGGTTCGCCCACCCATCCCTCCCAAATTAATAATATTTCCTTGCAGCCTAATATTTTCCGTTCCAGGTCAGCGGGCGCTGCTGCGGTCGTAAGATGGTTGCTGTATTCAGAACCGGGTAGGAATTTTCCTTGCATTGGAAGGTTTTGCCTTCCCCGTATCATTTCATCACAACTTTGGCGGTTTTTAGGCCTTGGCAAGGTATCCTTTAGTCTATCTTCGAGTTGGGGGGAGGCATTTCATAAAAGGATTGGTTGCGGGAGTCCCTGGGCCCTAGAGCAGTGGCATATAGGTCAAACTCCTGGCAGAGGTAAGGTGCGAGGGCATGCTGTGTAAGTTTGTGCTTTACCATCCCCTCCCACTGAACCTCATTGCCCTGCACATCCTCAGTCCCGGACGGGCTGAGAGGGTTACATGCCAAAGCCTATGCCAAGTTCCACACATTCTGAAGTTAAATAAAGTTGTGGCCAATTTGAACCCATACTTTGGGGTTCTCATTCTTTGGGGAGGTAGGCTCCACAGACAGGGTTCAGTGGATGTGTTTGCAAAAAGAGGAAAGGGTAAAAGCGAGAGGCGGTTTCTCCAGCCAAGCCTTCCGTGCTGGAGTCTGGAATAATAATAATAATAAATTTTTATTTATATCTTGCCCTCCCCAGCCGAAGCCGGGCTCAGGACGGCTAACAACAATAAAATAATACAACATTCTAAAATAATTTCATTATAAAATGAATTCAAATCAAATTGATGGCAACCATTGGGCTAGAGAATAATAATAATGGGCATTTAGAAAGGATTCTTATCTTGGAAGAGAGAGAGAGAGAGAGAGAGAGAGAGGGGCAGCAGAGTGGAAATAGGGGAAATACAGGACAAACTTCGAAACATTGAAATATGGGACGATCCTGTATTATTGCAGGATGAGTGGCAACCCTAGCCTGACACCTTTTCTGTTGCTACTGCTGTCTTTAATTTCCTAATTATGTACTGTAATCCTATGAGTGAATGGTTTGAATGGATGATGACTCTGCTGAAAGATCACAAATGGAAGGACAGCAGGGTGGAAGCTGAGCTGCGCGGCTATCACAGGCTAACAGGACATTAGAATCCTGCCTCTATGGCACCATCAGAAAGCTGCCCTTAAGAACCAGCAATGAGAGATGTGCAGAAGTGGAGATTGCCATGTTCATTTTCCTGATTCTAACGCTAGCACTTCTGTCCCAGATTCTAACCTTCCTTTTACGCTGCATTACCTGTTGTGTTATGGAACTGTAACTTTTTTTTAAATCGATATACTGCCATGTTGCATTAAATTTCAAATGACGGGGGGAAATATCTGTATGCCAGAATACCACCTGAACTTTCTTCACATGAAATTACAGCTCAAAATCCCCATGATCTCCTGGATTAACAAAGCTTCAAACAGATTTCCCCCGGAGCAAATCTCATAGAAATGAGCACGGAACGTCTGCTAGATTCTGCTAGTTTTCCAGATGTGGCTTTTATGGTTGGGGTTAGTAGTGCAGCCCCTTGTACTCCTGGTGATGCTTTAACTCAGTTATCACATGAAGTCTCTATTCTAGTCTTGGCCCCTCCTTCCTCCTGCCAGCCATAGAATCCTAGAATTGTAGAGGGACCCTAAGTAGAGACAT